GGGAGGGAGGGAGGGAGGGAGGAAGGGAGGAAGGAAGGAAGGGAGCTCTCATACTGCAACCAAGCATAAATATCTTGCCCCTGAGCTTCTTTCTCGGATTCTTCTCATCTCCAAAGCTAAAGCCATGTAGAAACTTACTTTTTTATTAAAATGGCCCTTTGTGCAGAGTTGCTTGAAGGCGAGATGGACAGCATATGCATTTAATAAATAAAATAAACAAAGAACCCTGAGCCCTCACATCAGCATCAGCTGGAGACGGGAGGATTCGAAAGCTCCCGTGTTACTCCTGAGTGTCATTCAAGGAACTGGCCACTTAACTATTCTGCTTGCTCCTTAAAATGGTGCCTCCCTCTTCACCACCACTTCAAACTCATTTCCCCAAAAAGGGGAAGGGAAGGGAAGAAGGAGAGGCTCAAAGCTGACATTGTGACTTACATACCTGGTTTGCCCACAGGCTGATAAATGTGCTGGTTAGAAGCCTGCAAAAAATAATAAATATTAAAACGAATCTAATTAACCACACAAAAAGGTTTATGAACAATGCAACCCCCTTCCAGCTAATCCCCCACACCCTATTTTCTTTCCAACGTGTTTGTCTTTCCCCAATTTCAGAGGAAGGCAATTAAGTTTTTATGCTTCATTCATAATTTTATCTCTTTTTAACGTTAAGAGACAAACCAGTTATTTTATCTCTGTCTTGTGGCGATGTACTCTGGCTAAGTCACTGCTATCGTTACTCAGAATAAATGGCATATTTACAACAACTGCTATCCCAAAATATTGAAAATTTTAAGATGAATTATAGGTAATAATCCTAGTTGGAAAAACTCTTTATCATAGCCCTCTCCGTATTGTTGAACAGATTTTTCATAGTAATTACTGCTCAGTTGTACAATAAAACAGAAGCAAACAAACAAGTCCAGGATTATTTATTTGGAATGTTTTATAACTGATTTGAAATCTTGTCACATGTTTGAAATATATCTACAGCGATTCTCAATCATCACTTCTGAAGAAGCTTCTTGGACGAGAAGCAAAACATGTTCAAAGAAAAATCTAAAAAAGTCCAACTGCCTTTTGGAAAAGCACCTTTGGGATTTTTAAAACAGGGGGCCAAACCAAATAAAAGTTTGTTCTATCATTGATCAACAATGAGAATGACACTTAATGAGTACTGATGGGGGTTTAATTCTTGGGAAACCATGCTTGTGTTTCGCCTTTATAAAAAAAAGTGTATTAGCAGAGTTGATTTCTTGTGTTTGCTAATGTAATTGCTGCTGGGAAAAGCAAGGCTAGGCAAAATCAGCAAAAGGCATTTTTATTGCAAACATAAAGCAATCCGTGATGTAGAAAACAGACTCCTTAAATCCAGAGCCTTGAATCCATCACAGCAAAGTACTAGAAAATTGGATATTCACATTTTTGGGGGAAACTGGGTCTCAAATAAAATGTAAATAAATTGATAAGCAGAAAAATCAAATTGCAGCACACCATTTTTTGTTAAAATCAGTAATTCTCGGGGACTGCTCGACTTAAAAGCATCCCATTTTGCTTTCAGTTTTGAACATACTTTACCCTTGAATTAAGCCATCTATGCATTCTGACACCTGTGTGTGGGTTTGTGACACCACGTTTTGCACGCAAACACCCTTTTGGACTTCAGTTCTGGAGACCTTTGTCGTCTGCAAGGGGGGTTGAAGGCCCTCCACTTACGCAGTGTTACGAGGGACTGTCACAGTGGTTCCTCACAATGGATGGTCCCTTGCCAACATTCCTATGCGAAGCACATACAAAACACCACCCCTCTGGCAATATAGTACGTGTGTGAAACGCACAAGGACACACGGTAAACATAAGATCCTGCTACCTAGTACTGTTCTTTTTTGAGAGATTTCCTAGCAATGCCAGAGAACGGCTTAGCATTAATCTACTGACAAATCCAATCTTCCTGACCATTATAGACCAGCAGAATTATCTACTAATAAACAGCCTGTCTGCTAAAAACAAGCTACCTGCATAAAGCCCAAGCAGGAAGGACTTCCACCTTCCCTTCCAATCCCTGAAAATTGAGCAAGCCACAAAACTTGTGAAATCGGATCCCCAAAAGCGATTCTATTTTGCTTTTCTGAACAGCCTCTTTGGAAGTCTATTAGCAACGTGCAATCTTCCCGACCCATCCGTGAGGCCAAAAATAATGTCAGTTTATTAAAAATAACGAAAGCGCTGCCTGCAAGGATAAGAGAACGCGTCGGTTCCAGAGGCAGCGCGAAAACAAGTTACTCCCGGCGTGTTGTGGGGGAACAGCCAAGCGTCTCACCGAAATATAATAATCGGGGCAATCTGAAACGAATCGGAATTCGTTTCCTGAAAGCAGACGGGAATGGGATCCTCATTCCCCATCGAGAAAAAAATGGGATGGATGTGAGCTTACCGGACCCTGGAGACTTCCGTCCTCGCGGTCGATGCTCCCTCTGGACAGCCTCACGTCGGGTTTCTAAAGAAACGGAAAAGAAACGTGGTTTTGGATCAGGGCTCGTTGCCTGTCAAGATAGCTGAGGAACTAGACATGTTAGCAGAAGCGAAGAAAACACTGATAAGGGGGAGGAAGGGAGGGGAGAAGTAGGCTTTGAGTAAGAGAGAGATGTTATTGCATTCCTCTTCCTTCTATCCCAACGTCGTCGTCGTTTTTTCTCCTCCGCCACAACCGGCTTTTGCAAAACTCAGCCAGGGAACCTTCTCAAACCTCGCCCCACCCCCCAAAAAACCCCCTTTCTATCTACCCATTGTTTGCTTGCACCTATAAAGACTTTTGAGATAAATATTGAGAGTACCATTTCCCCAAGACAACATTGGAAAACCTGCATTTTAATTCCCTCGGGAGGAGGAAGAGGAGCGGCAGCGGCAGAAGCAGAAGCAGCAGCTCCGCACAGCTGCCCTTTCCTTCCTAGCAGCAAAATTTTCAACCACAGGATGAGAAACGCTGCACATTAATTCCTGTTTCCTGCCTGAGGAAGGCTTAAATGTACTTGGCTCCCTCGCCAAGCTTCCTTAAAGGGGGCCAGTTGCTCAGGCTCTCTAAAAGCACAAGAGACCTGGAATGCTAGCAAGACGGCCGGCGACCAACGAGGAGGAGGAGGAGGAGGAGGAGGAGGAGGAGGAGGA